GAATTTGTGAAGTGAAGATGTGCATAATATATTTTTATTTTACTTTATTTTTGTAATCGTTATTTCATTTGAAAGAAAGGAAAATATGAATTTCCGAAAGTGCGATATAAATATTCTAATATTCAAATAAATAAGGAAGTGGAATATTTGAAAGAAATCCATTCATCCAATTAAAAATTTAAAAAAATAGTCGCAAAACTTTTAAAAAGTTTTTAAGTTTTAAAAACACTTATGAAGATACAAAACCAAATGAACAAATAACTGATAATTTGAAAATCAATTAGAATGGAATTTTTGCACTACTCCAAAAAATTTTGACGTTTTATGTTATTTACCTATTTAAGTTGCAAAAAAATAAAGATATATGGTTAGGATACGACTGTATTCACCCTTAAGTGAAAAGGTGAAAAGGTCTAGTTATATAAAAATGGCTTCTGTGTCATTTGGTAAATAATACCTCTAGTGGCGAAACAAGTATGCAAGAGCGTGGTAAAATAATTCTTGGAGACAGAATAGTGGAACTTGCTTGTTCTCACAATTATATATCTAAGCTCTTCGTCAGTAATGTCAAAGGGCATAATTAAGTTTCTCCAAATAATTAAAATAATTTAGAATTGAATTTCAGTCTATCGAATTATTCTAATCCAAATCGGATTCAAATATTCTGGCTATGCCAGTTTTTTTGATTATTTGAAACTTGTTCTGAAGATGGTTGTGTGGCTTTACAACATTCATAAAAATTCAGCATAAAAATAAATCAAAAATATATCTATTATTTACTCACATTGAACGATGGGAATCATGTAAAAGAACAGATTTTCAGCAATACTATGATTTCGCTTGCAATATTATACCAAAGGGTCGATCTAAAGGAACCTGTATGGAAATGGCTGCGAAATCGCCATCAAAATTCATCAATCTGATAGAGCACATTATTCTGTTGTACTGGCGAGGAGGAATCAAGAATTAAACTGATATGATCAAAAGAAATACTGAGCTATCAACTGATATATGGGCTTAGACGGAAAAAGTGAGTGACTTCTTTAAATATCAGGCTTGGCATCAAAGAAATTGTAGCAACCTAACTAGTAATGGTGCGAACCATTAGAAGAAGAACAATATTATAAAAAAGATATTAATAGAAATGAAATCGCCTTGCTTTAACTAAAGAATAAATCATCATTTCAATTCCGGTTCTTTGATTGAAGTCATCAGAAATCTAAGAATATTAAATAGAAGACTCAAATTATACTTATTGCTAGTGACTCTTAAATTATTGCTAATGACTCTTTGGCTATGGAATCTCATACTAATAGCCAGTAAAGTTAGCCGAGTTTTGTTGAAAAAAAGTAGCTTGTAAAAGTCGTTTATATAACTTTAAATGGAAACATATTAAGAAACTTATTTTAGGGCTAAGCAACTAAGGCTATTCTTGGTGGTTATATATATCATTTCTGGTTTTCTGGTTAGGGCAATTGGCAATTATCATAACAAATTTTCACCGAGTCATTTATCCATAAAAGTACAGGTGGGTCATTATCAAAGTTTTTAATGGCAAATTTACTCCTAGCCAATAAATGAGGAGAGTTCTCACCTCTGAGCACGATAACCTACTCAATTATTTTGTTACACTGCCTCTCTTAACAATCCACCATTGATAAGCAGATCTTTTGATGAAGAAAGAATTTTTTGACAAATGACAACAAATGAAACTTAATTAAGATTTGATTTAAAGAGCTTGCATAGTAATTTATTGAGGATGTGGAAAAATTTGCGTTACTTCTGGTAAAATCATCCTGTCATTATTGAATTTTTTCGGTTGTTGATTTAAGTTCTTTTTTAACACTAAAATATTCCTCTATGAGTTCAGCAATCATTAGGGAATCATTAGTTAAAATGATCAGATCGTGGTTGAAACCAAATGTCATGAATGTTTTAATGAAAATAAATAAATAAGTAAGCCATGAAAGTAAAAAAAAAGCCTATTGAAATATAGAAATTAAAAAATTTACGCAATCTTGGCATCTTCGAAATCGATTGCAGTAGTGGTCTCTTAATTAATTTTCGAAGATAAAAATAAAATTTATTATACTAATATTATATAACAGTTATGAAAAAAATAAAGTGAAATAAAGAATCTTCGCATTTTATTGCATTGCATTTTATCATATTAGGAAGTTTTGAAAGTGATGAAATTTTAGTCACCAAATTTAGTGGTCAAATTCTTAACTTTTTTTTTCCAATCATACTTCTTCGAAACGAACTTTCGAGAAAAACAATGAATTAATTGCAATAACAGCAATAAAAGAAAGCATATATAAGATTAAGATGTCCTAGAAAGGATGAAAAATAGGACCTATTAAACAATGAAAAACTAAGAATTTTTCGTTTGGCGTTCGAATAATGGAATTTCAAAAGCCAAAGAAGTAATTGTTTTTGTGATAAATTTTCGATAAATCTTACCTGTTTATCAAAGCAATTTACCTTTAACATTTTAAAGAGATAAAAAAATTGGATTTCGCTAGATTTGACTCAAAATAAATGGTATCTTGATTTCATATGTTCTGCGGTGTTTAATATTAGTCGGCCAATATTAGAGTACAGCGAGCTTCTTTAAGATACAATTTATCAATTTATTTTTATCAATTTTATTATTTTTTTAGTTAATTGGTAAATATACTTAGCTTTAAATATATTTTACAAATAGATTAAAAATAAGTATGGTAATCTTTCTAAATCGCAAATTATTCATAATATATAAAATATTCATTAGTAGTGAGGCATATATCATATAAAACTATCGCTTTTGCATCAAAAATTTAGCATTTTGGTGAAAAGGGAAGTCAGGAAGTCAATCTTTTAGTGATCAGAGAAAAAATCGAATTCGTTTCGCATAATAAATTTATAGGCAAAAGAAAATAGATTTTATTGAGTATAAAACATTATGGTAGAGGTGAACCTTTTTAGTTATTAAGGATTTTCCATATGAGAAAAGTTTATTTGAAATACAATATAGTGGTGTATTTCTAAAAGATTGTTCTTATCATATCATAATTAATAGTTAATAAAATAATTTCTTAATATATATTATCCATGGAAGCAGACAATTGACTTGCCAAATTTGTTCATCCGAAATAAATCACTTTATCGTTTTTTTAGAATTATACATTTTTTATTATAATTCATTTCAACTGAAAATTTGCTTTTTATCATATTTACATGCATTGAATATTAATATTTTATTCAAAAAAATATTTTTAATATATTTAATAGTAATTCAAAAAATTTTATGATAAATTTATGATAAAAAATTTTAAAATGAATTTTATGAGAAAATAAATGGCAAATGGTAGAATACGATTATTAATTTAAAAGTTGAAGTTTGCCGAAATGATGGAAGCAAGTAATTTAATCGACTAAGTTAATAAGTTAAGCAAAATAAAATAAAAAACTCTTATTTTTTTAAATTAAAAAGGAAAAAACAGAAATTCCGATTGTTTTAAAATAGCGGAAGCTGATAAACTATATCAAGAACAAGTGGAGAATAATGTCAGGATAATGAAAGAAAATTAATTACTCGCTCAAATAGCTGATTCAGCTAATTCAGCTAATTTTTTCGATACATGGTTAAATTAATATATAACTATATAAATATATAAAATAGGGCAAAGCGGTTAATAAAAAGAAATCAGGAATATACAGAAATTAATGACAAAAATAATGATTGTGTGATAAATGATAAAGCACTCAACATTAGTTGGAAATGTTCAAATGGACGCTAGCAAGGATAGAAAGAGAGAAAGTTATCCGGAAATAGAACTATAGGCCAAATTAAGCATCAACTGGAAAAAAAAAGTATTCGCAATGAATATAATACGATTAAATATAATATTTGTAAATTCCAGGTTGAACAGATTGACAATTATTTTTACTTTTTGTAATATTTGAATTAAAATGTTATTTAAACCCATACTTTTGACCAAGAGCAATTAACTTTTGTCAAAAATATTTTTTTTTAATTCCACTTTTTTAAGAATTTTAAGACTTTTTTAAGAATTTGTAATTATTCTACGTAAAGATTGTATAATATGTAAATGTGCACAAAATTGTAAGGCACTATTTAACATTTACTTTTAATTGCTTTTGAAAAAATGGATTGTTAGTGAAAATAAAATAAAAAATGTAAAAATCTAATGATAGAATTAATGGAGAAAAATTTTCTATAAATTTTTAAGTACTCCTTTTAATATTACAAAATTTATCGTTAATCTCTATTTTTCACGTCGTTGATATATGAACTGAGGCGATTTTGATGATTTTGGAGATGATTTATTTGCTTTTTTTGCAGTTAATGATTATCAATGGATCTTTATTTTGGCTTACTCTGTATTTTTAAAATCTATAATTCGGATTCTTATAAAATGCTGCTTTTATTGCCCTCTTTTATGACCGTTCAAGTGGTCCCACATTTTGTGGCAATAAAATACTTCTTTCAGATTTAAATAGATTTTAATGAACATAAAGTAGAGGAAAATAAAATTATTTCTTACGAATTTTTACAAAAAACCAAAAACCTGGTTATATGCGAATTGTTTTATAAATTATTACAATGATAATAAATTAACGCAAATGAATTGGTCGAGCGAAAAGTAAATTGAGAGTGATTTTAATCAAATGCTTTGATAATTAAATGGAAGACGTCCCAAATAATAAAAAAAGTTGTGGTTCATTATAAAATGAAGTCTTCAATAATTTTTGAACCGAAAACCGATATTCTAATTTCTATTAATTTTCCAATAAATATCAAATTTTCCAACATAAATATGTGAGCAAATTTAAAAATAAAAAATTACTTTCTTCTACTTATAGGATAAGAATATCAAAAATTCTGCTAATTTCTATTTCGATCCATGATTAAAAATTAAACATATTTTGCATGATGATGGTTTTATTGAAAAGTTTATGAACTCATTTTGCATTAAACCAGTGATATCAATTGTCTATTGACTCTGTACATAATCGGGATTTGTAAAAGAAAAGCCTTCGAATTCGTTTTGATCTAGATTCATCAAAAATAATCGGTCAATTGGAGTTAAATGAGGTGCTTCTTGAGTAAATTCAGTATCAAAATGTGATACATCGCTCGGACTTTTCTGAAAAATATCATATTTTATTTGATAAGAGGCAAATTCAGAACTGTTCGCATATTATGAATAAGGAAAAAGCCACTATTAAAATCAAATAGAATGAAGCACTGAAAAAAAAGACGCGTAAGAAGACAAGAAGTTTCTGAAAGCAAAATAGAAGTGTTTAGGCGATGAAAAAAAAAGAATATTAAAAATAAAAGCGTAATTTTCGTGATCGTAGTTTTTATAAATAAATAAGATAATGAAGAAATAAAATTGTGAAATGGATTTAATCGAAAATGCATTTACCAATCTTGGCTTATAAGGGGGTTGAACTTGCCGATTTTCCATTTTGAACCAATCTATACGTCGAAAAAATGCATGCTCCTAAAATAGTAAAATGAAACCAGAAAAATAAATAGAAAATGGATTTAATTCCGACTTTTCTCATAAATATTAAGCGTTAAATCAAAAATATTCTTAAATCTTATGCTTCAAATATCAAATATATATATATATATATATATGTAGGCAGCACTTTAAAGGTTTATAGAATAAATTAACCTTTATATCTTGTTCCTCTGTAGCACCTGAACCTAATCGCTTTTCCGGATTCTTTTGTAGCAATCCTTTACAAATCGAGACAGATTCTTTGGACATAGACTTTGGATAAGATACATTGAGCTCAGTAATTGCTAAAAAAATGCCATCGAAATTAAGACTTAATATAATAAAGCAATAATAAAATATAAAAAAGTAAAATATAAAATACAGTAAATGTATCCATCATTTAGTTGAAATCGTTTCTTATTATCAAACCAATACTTAAGATGTCCATAATGGAGTAATGGAGTGATGGAATAATTTACGTTGGTAATTTGTTCATTAAATTTTAACTAGTACTGATTTTATTCGAATGATCTTCCAGAAATGTGAAAATTTCTCTATTTATCCATCTATAAAAGCTGTTTAATGATGATGAAGGTGCAGAACAAATAATCAAACAAATCTATAAGAAGGACCTGTGAAGAGTTCATCTTCATCCTCACCATCAAATGGTGGTTGTCCGGCCAACATTTCGAATAATAGCACACCATATGCCCACCAATCAACAGCCTTATTATAAGGCTGGTACAAAATAATCTGCAAAAAATGTAAAAAAATGTAAAAAAATGAACCTAAGAAAAATTGTAAAAGTTGGAAAAATTAATTAAATAAAAAGAAAAAGTTTTATTGAGACAAATTTTGCAGTTAAAAAAAAGAATTTAAGATGAACTTTTTGATGCAACCTCAGGAGCAATATAATCCGGAGTACCACAAAATGTTTTTGTCGTTGCACCACCGAAGATTCCATCTTTACACATTCCGAAATCTGTTATTTTTATATGTCCAGTACAATCAAGCATGACATTATCCAACTTTAGATCCCTGTAGATAACTCCTTTCGAATGCAAAAAAAATAAGCCAATAGCTGTTTCAGCAGCATAAAATCTGAAATTTTGTCGACAAATTCAATTTACCCAAGCATCAATCTAAATTACTAGTTTAATAGCTTTTCCTTAACATGAAAAGAATTTAATTTGAAATCAAGCATTCAAAAATAAAAAAACAAATTACTCAAAAATCGACCAAACAAAGTGAAAAAATGTATTTATAAAATGATATGAAAATGTATAACAAAAATATATAAAAAAAAATATATAAAAATCTACACAGCAACTGGTTCCTTGAACTTTCCAACTTGTTGAATTTGGTACATAAGATCACCGCCACCAATAAATTCCATAACAAAATATAAGCGATCCTGAAGCATCTTTTTTTCACTGGACTTTTTACTAATTAATAATTCGTTTTCTCATCCTATCAGATTATTCGATTTAAAAAATCATGAGTTATTCTGAGAAGCTAAAGGAAAATATAAATTTCATACCATTGTTTGAAAGCAGGAATGAAGAGTAACTAAAAACGGTGATTTATCTGGTAAAGCTAAAACTCTCTTTTCCGTCATGGTACATTCCACATCATCGTCTTGTACAATGATATCTTTTTTCAAGATTTTAATGGCGAATAACTCTTTGGTCACCTTGTGTTCTCCCAAAAGTACCTGAAACTATAGAATTTCTTGCACGAAAGCATTCAGAAATATTCAAAACAAGAGTGTCTCCATTTCCTGAAGAATCTTATGCAAAAAATTATTCCAATCATTCAGTGAAATCAAAATTTAATTTTTGAAAAAAATTAAATTTTAAATGTGGCGAAGTCATTCGATTCAATAGGAAAAGACCGTTTGATATTTTATTTTCGCTAAAATCCATCAAAAAATTATCAAATACTTATTTTTTAAAAGGCAATCCTGGAATAGTAAGGATTTCAAGAACTTCACTTAAAAATAAATATTAAACTACCTGGTGTCGAACTGAAGAAATTAACCTTTCCAAATGATCCTTTACCAAGTACTGATAAAAAATTAAAATCTGTTGCCTTGATTGTATCTTTCTGCTTTTTCCACATTGAAGATTTATTCGTCTGATTTAATGTCGAAAATTAAAAGTGAATCTTTAGTTAACCAATGGTATCAAGAATAAACTCATAATTCTAGCTTTAATAGGGAATTCTCCAGTAATATATATTTTAAATAAAACTTCTAATTCTAAATTCATTAAAATTTGGAAATGCAATTTCACGACCCAGAATAAAAATGGTAGAAAATTGTAGCATTAAGGAATTTCGCGTTTCGCGTGTAATACAGTGAGCATTCATAAAATAACTAAATTAAGAGATTAGTTGAGATTCTTTTTCATATTAAAATATTCAGAACTCAGCTTCAGCAAATAATAATCATACTTACAGCATTTAATAATTTAAACCACCCTTCGACAGGTTCTTTCATCAATTCGCTGATTCCAAACGATAATGACCCCATAAAATCATTTCGAGATGTGCGGTCCCAATCCCACACTTCCACTGATAATCTTCGATCAATATCATCTGGCTCTAGCTTGCTGAATTTTAATCGCACTTGCAGCAAAAAAATTGCGCTTAGGAGAATTCTATAAAATTATTTAACAAACTTACTACAAAAAATGCTCATCCCACACCGGATTCAGAGTTGCGCGGATTTTCTTGCTTTTCTGCTTTGATTTTGACGACTGATCATCCGGTATAAGCTTCAGTTTGCAATACGGATCTGATAATCCATTTGGGTCCATTGGAATTAAATTTCGAGCTTCTTTCACTAAAATAGAAAATTCTGCTGCTGCTGTTGATAATTAAAGATTAAAATAATACGAACTGTATGAGAAGCATCGATTTTTAATTAATTAGATCTTGAAGTGGTAAATTCAAATAAAAAATAAAACTCTATACCGTGGATTTTCAAAATATCATTCTCAGCTCGTATATTTAAATGGATCCGACCTCGTTTTTCCGTATGATCAGTGCCACACATATTTGGTATATTTTTAACACATCTGTGATGAACATTCATATTGCATGATTGGCATCGTTTTCCCTAAAATTAATTCGCTTTTTTCCCATGTGTTCAATTTATTTACCTTCTTCTTCTTCTAACAGTCTCACCATTACTGGTTAGGCTGGCCCCAACGGCTACAAGGGTAAGCTTCTAAGCGGCGCGGTCTGATGCCATCGTCGACAGTAATGGAAGCCATTCCTTTTTCTATCGTCTAAGCCCATATATTGCTGGTCCACTTATACGTTCAAAATCTTTTCTCACCGTATCAAGTCTTGATTTGCCCATCTCACTTTTGACGCCAACCATCACACGATTTAGCAAATAACGAAATAACTCAACTCCTATGGTGAACGACGCAGAATCTGCCCTAAGCAGCGAAAGCTGTGTGATAACATTATTTATGCAAGTGGTATTTGAACAAAGATGGATGCGATCTTGTGATATCTTATCCGCTCGACGGATCCGTAATATGTACCTTAGACAAGAGTGGTCAAAGGCAGATAACTTCTTAATATCCTTCACTTTCATTAGTCATGTTTCAGAACTAGTAAGATCGAACAGATCACGGCAATATAGATGCGGACTTTCGTTTTTATGGTGATTCCATAAAGGTTTCATCAACCGGATGGAACCGGCATCTCTAGCTGCCTTGATCCAGGCTATTATATCGCCTTTTGCTCGGCCATTTGGTATTAGAGTGAGCCCAAGGTATTTGAAATCGGGCACTTTTTGAACCGGCAATGAATTTACAAAAAGAGGCATTTTATCAGCTTCTTGCACATTTGACGAAAAGATTTTCGTTTTGTTTACATTGACCCTGAGTCCGATTTTTGCTGCAGTTTCTGACACGTTATTTAGCATTGCTTGCATTTCGTCATAACTGTCAGCAAAAAGGATTACATAAGCGTATTTAAGATCTGTGATACGATGCTCTGGACTAATTTGAACTCCTCCTGAGCGTCAAAAAGCAGTGTCCATTATCCAGTCTATCGCATAGTTAAATATTGTGGGGGAAAGGACGCAGCCCTGACGGATACCTGTTCTTATTTTGAAGGACTCTGTCAGTTCCTCATATACACAGATCTGCGCCGACGTGCGCTCATAAAATGCTTTTATGAGTCTAATGATTTTCTCTGGAACACCGTCACGTTCCATCACCCTCCAAAGCACCGCTCTATCAATTAAATCAAAGGCAGCCGCAAAATCGAATTCATTTACCTACTGAAATGATATTAAAAATTTTTTTTATCAGTAATTCAGGACAGTTCAATACAATCATACAAATTTGTAGAGCTTTTCATCTTTAAAGCGCTTAATTTAAATTGCATCAATTGAAAATTTTGCTCAAATTTGAATAGAAAATTTAATTTATTTATACAAATTTGAAAGAATCGTGAACTGCGAGATAGGAAAAAAAATACGAAAAAATCGAAGAAATTTTTCGACAAAATTATTTAAACTATACTTTACTGGAATAAGAATAAGAATTGTTAAAAAGAAAGAAGATTTGAACAGTTGAGTTAACCGATTCATATGAAGAAGAAAAAATCACCTGATGTATCAGACCATAGAGAAGAGAACCACAGTGATCGCAAAAAGTCGGTGATGAATATGTTTGAACTTTCCACTTGTGCTGCTGACGAGGATCCTGAAATAATAGAAGCATTGTTGGAGCAGTGTTAATAATAAACATTATTTTCTTAAGCATATTATTCTTTGTCCGAAATAAGCGGAAAAATTTAAGAAAAATTATTATTCTACTGCAAAAAGAGAATATATATAAATTGGAATAAATAAACAAATAAAATAATCATTTACATCAGTATCAACTCCTTTATCGGCACCAGGACATTGAAATCCAACAAATCCATGGCACCGCTTATGAACCACCAAAGTACATACTAGAATTTTTGTATAAAAGTGCAGATTTCATTGTTTTTGATGTGATATCAAAGAAAACGGTTTGATTTTATCTTTTTGCATGTATTTTCCTTTATTTTTAATTTTTTTAGACAAACCTTGTTCTCGACTAATCCTCTTAAAGAATTTCAATTAAAAACACATTTAATGCGGTACTAGTCGAAATAGTTTTTCACTGACACTATAAACTATCGGTTTGGTTTTTCTTTCTATTTGACAAGGTTACTTTCATTTCTAATAAGTAGTTCAATATTTTTCTCTTAAAACTTATTGCGTGGACTTTTGGATAATTTCATTGAATCGTGAATATTAAGCACTATGCAAATATCATTTGGCTATATTCATGTTCGAAATATATATATCCCGAGAAACGCAAAGTGCAACGCATAGCAGGATATAAACTGCAGACAGGAACAGCGTATAATGAAATGCATAACCAAGTAGCTGTCATTATTTTTAGGTATATCTGTATACCAGATATTGTGATGGTAGATAAGAGCCAAAAATCAGCAGTGTCGATAGATATAACAATACCAAATAAAAGGAGAGTATTAGGAAGAAGGAATAATAAATACCATGGACGAAAAAATAATATGCGGAAAATGAAGGTCAAAGCGGTCCCACTGATAAGTGTAGCACTGACTATGGCCTCCAAACCAGAAAAGTAGCACCAGGAACAATATCAGAGATCTCTGTCCAGATTAGCGCATTACTAGATACAACTAAAGCAAAGCGCAAAACCCTCAATCTCTCAGGCCTTTAGATGACTTATGCGGTGAGGACAAAGCTCATGTGCTCATAAATTATCTTTATTATGATTACTGGGCAACCATTTTTAACAGAAATGTATTATATATATATAAATTTATATCAAAGGCCAGACTTCAAAATCTATAAAAACTTATTTTTTCGATTTCTATTTGAAATTTTAATGCTTTTTTTGATTTATATGAGTGATTATCTTTATAAAAAAAGAAGAAAACATATAATGAATAATTATCACCTTGGCATTGAAATCCTTGCTTATTTAATCCCCAAAGGAAGTCCTTGCAATGTGAACAAAACGTTGGTTGTTTAAAAAAACGTGCGATAAACTTATGGGATCTGAAAAATAAATCTGAAAGTATTAACACTTTTACTGGTGAAGAAAACCATAAAAAAGATCAAGATCAAGAGGAAACATTTCCATTTTTCTAAGATTTTGATAAAATGGTTCCCTTTATCCTTTCCTTTTTTTCTATATGAATTGTATATATATTCCAAATCTTCTCCAAATAATTACATTCTCTATTCAATTTTTAATTATTATTTCCTGATTCTAAATTCCTGCAGGAAGTTATGGCATTTTGATAATTAGGAAAATCTCATAAAAAACAGTATACGGGAGAGAAGGAATGGTTTATTATTAAGTCGCTTCATAAGGCAATACTTCTTTGTATTCTTCTTTCTTTATTAAAGTAAACCCGTTATTGAGATCGAATTGTGTTCATCTTTTCATCTCATATTTCTCTCCCTATTTAACTCATTGATTAACGCATTCAGTGGAGCCAGCGGTGAGCGCTCTTAGAAAAGATCATAGTCAGTATAAAAAAAATCGGGTTTAGTAAACCAATTTTGCATTGTATGAATGGACCTCATTTTTCTGAGACTGAAGATATTGGTTTTTTGGGATTCTTTGTGTGTATGAATAAAAAAATTTTAAGATAAAAAATTGAAAACTCACTTAATTTCGTGTATATTTTTTTGTCTTAACGCTCCTTTTCGAACAAATCGTTTTCCTTCGATCCTTTGTGCTTAAAAAAATTGAAATAAATTTATAATTTATTTTTTCCTTCTTGTATATTCCTGCATTAAAAATTCAGTAGTTAGTTACCATTATCATATCGTATTTTTTGCAAAGTAGAAGCTGTTAAAACGTCTAAGTAGTATTTCGATTTAGTCTTGAGTGATCTTACAATATTTTCCTTGTGAAGCTTTGTCTTTCTACCAGTTTTATTCTGATAACCATCGCCAAAGTTTTCCAAATCCTTTTTTTCTTTGGTATTATCCGCAGTATCCGATGCATCAAAATCATTTAATGAATATGACAAAGATAAACTATGGCAAATCGACACAGGTTTCCTTTGTTCAAATGGACCTCTCAGTGATAAATCTTTCGACATTTTAATGCTATCACTCGTCAAAACCTCATTAAGCAATGACGACGGAAAATCATTAGCAGAGAGAGCATCTAATGGAAGGCCAATTTCAAGAATGTTTGGTAACGAAGAAGAAGGATTTATGATCGAATACAGCGAATGTGAGCAATTGCAACATTTAGGATTCATTGTTGTAAGCTAAAAAAAATTATGGAATCGCGTATTTTTAATAGTGAAATTTGTGAAAAATAGCAGAAAAATCATCAACCAGCTATGGATGATACATAGGGATTCATATGAATCAAATATTCGTAATAACGATTCCAGTGATAAGTTACAAATAATAATTAAGCAATCCATCTCATATACCACTGATCAGTATAAACGAGTAAGAAATCATTTCTGAACTTCATCTCCTAAGGCTCTGGCAAATAGATCAGTCGAAATGCGTAATAAGCGAAAAGATGAAGGAATTAATATGGTATGATTTATAGGATCGATCGGCCAGGAAGAAGGAAAACAAAACGGTGCAATAATTTGCATAAATATAAGCAGATTAATAATGATAATGCAATACAGAGCAATGTCGACTGAAATTAACATTCCTAGCTACAATACAGCTAGAATCGTATAAATTATATCAAAAAATGGATGAAGAAATCAAAATTTCATACGGAAATTCTTAATTTGTAAGACATCCGCGCAATCCGCGCAAATCAAATTGCTGTTGCTCTCTTAAAAATCTTTTTCAATCTATTTCTTAAAGCTTAAATCACTAGAAGAATGAAAATTTTTATCAAATTGCTAATTTTAATTCTCTAAAAAGAATTTTTCACAACATTAAGAGTATTCGAAGTGCAACTGGTAGATGAGACAAAGGTAGAAATATACAAATTAATTTCAGACTCTCGTTAAACCTTTCTTTTATTAATAAGAGTAAAAGCCTGATTTTCTGGAAAAATGATTTTTGGTTTGATTTGAAAAAAAAAAATAATTCGGCAATTGGCTAAAATGCAATAAGCTATTCAGTAAATTAGGTTGAAAATAATTTCAGTGAAAATAATTTATATTAAAAATAATTGAAGATGAAAATAAACAGTAAAAATAATTTTTTTTCAACCAAATATATTCAACCAAAAACTTTTTTTGAGGCATGGAAAAGAACAATTGATCGCCGAAATTTCTGCATAATTAATTGCTAAATTTATTGCATGAAACTAATAGTTTGATTCATGAAAATGATTTAAACTCCTAAATATTTATGTCATTAGAATCTAGATTTGACTCTTCTTCTAACAGCTCTCACCATTTGGTTAAGCTGGCTCCAATGGCTACAAAGATAAGACGCTTCCAAACGGCGCGGTCTGATGACATTTTTTTTGACATACTATAACAATAAAATAATAGAATCGGAATTCTAAATCACTGAGTCTGATTGTTTGATTTTGAAATTTTATAATCATATTTTTTCTGGATTTTGAGTGCAAGAATCCAGACGAAAGGAATAGTCAAATGGAAAAATGAAACGAACATACCAAATGCTTCAGAGAGTTTACGTAAAGCTAAAGACGATTCTAGAACTGGATCAGCGCCGAAATTGGAAGAATATATAAGTTGATCTGAATTCAATGAACGTCGTCTTAAATTATTTGATGGATTTTCTAGTTCATATCCATGTTCCATTTCACTGAATTTCCTTTCCACTTCATTACTGCTCGCTGTTAATTGAAATCTCTTCAGATCGCGAACCACCTTATGACTTCCAATCCCAACAAATTTTTCATCATTTTTTGATGGTTGCAGTTCATTTACCATCTCAAAAAATATTTTTCAATTTCTCGAAGAGCAATTTGACTTGCGTTTCTTTCGCGTGAAAATATCGAAAATGTATAATAGATAAAAAAAATGAAAATTTAAAAAAAATGAAAATAAAAGGAAAATTTATCTCTGAAAAAGCTGAAAAGATTCAAATAGACATGGATAATTAATGAAGAACAATTTAAGCGACGTTTCGTTCCAGTTTAACTGTTGAAATTTTAAATAATGAAACATTGTTTAGTCTTAGAGGTTTATTTGATTTATTGCTAAAATTTATATTTGGTTTACGTCATTCATAGGTGAGCAATGAACCAGTACCGAGTTTATCGAATTATGGAAATCATCGGGGTTGTCAAGCATCACAGATTAGATTCTTTGATAAGAAGTAAACTATCATTAAAGGTGAAAATATCAAGTAGAAAAAATAGATAGCCGAACCGATCCACCTCGATTTTTGACTCCAAATGACTTCAAACGGTCAGTTTTTATAACTAATCGTTTATCACTCAAATTTTTAGATAATTATTCAGTGACTTTCATGAGGAGAGCCACAGTTTATACTTCCACTGAACTGTGTATATACAATGAACGAAAAATTGCTGCCGAGTACAACAACAAATGTTTTTGAGATATTTTCAAATATTCTCAATATTGTATGGAAGTATATTGAAAAGTACGGCATTAATGAGGTGTTTATATATAATATAGGCAGAAACGAATTCTTATTTATTGCATCTAAATAAAACAAATTGCCAGAATGAAATTGAGTGAAAAAATTTCGTCAGTCAAATTTAGTCCATTGAATTTGATTTTGCCCGAAGAGAACGCATTTCTGCAAATTTTGCTTGAGAAGTAGCAAACTTATCCATAAATAAGCAATTTATCAAAAGTTTGGTTGTCATCTCAATTTAAGAAATATTTGAATAGATTATGATAAAAAACGAAAGATGATAGCGATCAATGAAAAATTTGTACCCAAGTATGGGTGGCTAGCAGACCCCACTGCAGGAGGAAAATGACTTTAAAATATGGGAATATGAGCGAAGCAAATTAAAAGCATCAAAATTTTTAATGACAGGTTCACTGTTGTCACAAACCGAACCACGGTATTAGAAACGGTGAACAATCTGCAAATACATCAAACACAACAAATACATTGCACACATTCGCAAAAAGTATTATTTAAAGCAAAGACTTTAGAGTATAAATTATGCGAAGATACAAATCAGAAAAGAATTGAAAACGAAAAAGCTCACTTTCCAAACGATTCGTCCAAAAGTATGGAATAAATTTTTATCACAAATATTTTCTTTTAGCGAAAATTTTAGGATAAAAAGTGAAAGTGGTGAATAAATAAATTGTTGTTAAAATTTTTGCGACAACGATCTTGACTACTTGCATTCTATTTTTATCATTCAAATAAAAAAATAATCAAATTTTCGAATTCAAATTCTCCTTTTTCTACAAGTAAGTATTCGCAAAAGATGAGATATTAAATTAAACCTCACTTAAAATACTCACATAATTCAGCAAGCGAAATTAACTTTTAAAAGCTCCCTTGAAATCGAGGCACTCAAAAAATTGGATTTTTTTGTGTTTAAATAAAATCATATGTGAATTTTTTGAAAATGAGCTTTACTCGAGTTTTTTCTCTAAGAGTCTTTTCTTTTTTCAGTTCAATTTTGCTCCGCTGGCTGGTTGGACAAATTTCGTAAAGGATAAAAGTACAGGTAAGTTGCCAATAGATATTTTTGAAAAATAAGTTCACTCCTACTTAAAATTAAAAATTATTAAAAATTGCTCATTTCAACGAAGAAAAGAGATAAAATTATTCATCATTACTATCCCTTTTACACTTATTACCCTTTTATCAATGGCTATTTATTTCCATATTTTATAATGTCCAAAATTTCTTAATGTAATTGAAAAAAATTATAAAAATTATGAAACATAGGCAAAACAGAGGATTAATGATCAAGCAGATCATGATGTATTATCCTATAAAAAGCCGTTTTAAGATAATCACCATTTAACTAAATTCATTTATTACGGTTATTATGATGAATTAGTTAAAAAGGGTCATTAAAAATGTCCAGTGCTCAGTGAGAAAATTCTCTTCCAACGTCGGTGGGTGCAAAATTATTGTTAAAAAATTAGTTTTATTCCCTTGAAGACTCAGTGCAATTCTTTCAGTCTTAACAATTAACAAATCTCCATAAGGCAAATCTCATCGCGAGATATAAAATAGTCGTCTACGATATTTAAACGCTGTTATAAAAGAATACTCTATTCAGCATTCATTCCACAGGGCAATATAACGTAGTCTACTGGATAGTGATTCAGACAATGGTTTTTATTTTCCTACTAAGGGGCAAGGATTTGGCTTCTACGGACAGCAAGATAAATCTTTTATTAAAAAATCAGGATAGTGCTGGCAATTCACCTGTATTTCCACAGGTACGGCTTTCCAAAAATTTTTAACCGCACTTAAAACAGAGCGGACTGAACTCAATAATAATAAGTGCTAATATTTTACATTTTATAGAGAATAAGAAACAATCACTGACTCTTGCAATAGCCTATGAAACCAATGAAAGAATAAACCAGTTCCCTTTTCCATTTGTCCATGGAACATAGAAATCTTCATAAAGTTGAAATGGCTTATTTATAGTAACATTTCTCGCACAGTGAAACTTATGCATCTCGAACGTGATTAGACCAAGCGATTATGTCATTTCTCTTCAAGCGTGACACTACTGATCATATCGCCATTATTATAAATTTTTGCATTTATTGAACATAGTTCTTCAAATAAAAAAATTTATGAGCTACGGTGCACCAAAAAAAGATTGGATAAATTTTTTGGTCTAATCTATTTTGTAAATTAGGCAGCATATTCATCTAGATACGTAATCACATCAATTATCGTTTACAGCAGTCATCGTCACCTTTATGATAGATTATACCGATCATATAGATAAATGTAAACTCCGTGCTTGGATGAGAAAATCCCAATTAATTTAATCTTCGCATGGATCGGACGAAAAGAAAAAATTCATTGGACATGACAGAGATAAGTAATATAATCAGTATGGCAAATGCATTTGAAAATTGCCTCATCAATATTCTTTTTCAAAACTTTATTATTCGAAACGAAATTTCATTTTGATAAATTAAAATTAAAAATCTAACTTTTTTTCTTTACGAAATAAAATTTTTAAAAAATTCCGTGGAAAATTGATTTTATGGAATCTGATCGCAAAATATATGAAAATATATGAAAGAAAAAAAATATAAAATAGAAGCAGGAAAACCGACTGGTTCTTGTCTAAATTATTATAGCATCGAACATCAAAGTTCGGATTCGCGCCTTCAAGTGAAGTAAACTTATCGTTAAAAAATGCCGGGCGAACTGAGAACCCATATATATTTTTTGAATGAATTAGTGGCAAATATTTTTCGTGTACTAAAAGCCAGAGGAAATTATGATCAGCCATGATTATCCGTTATCAGTATACTAGCCTAACCACTTTTTTTTGTACAAATAGTGGAGAAACTAAAATATTTATAAAAATTAATATCCTTCAAAAACTGATAGCCGAATGAGTTTTACAACATTCGCTAAATCTATTTCAGTTGGAATGAATTATCCAAAATTTTCTTTCATCAACAGAAGAAAGAACTATTACTAAATTATTCTATATACTATATATTATTCACTAGTAAATTAATGATAAAGAAACAGTTTGGCATTTTCATTAAATTAAAACAAATTAAGGCAGAAAATTCTAAAATTCTCATAAAATTGAAGAATTTCCAAATAGATTTACTAATTGAAGAGAAGAAAGGAGGGAGAGGGGAGGGGGGGGGAGGGGAGAATGGAGGAGTGAAAGGTAATATTGGACCATCGTGAATATTTCGTCCAGTATTTAGAAATTATAAATTTTTCCAATTTTTCCATTTTTTCCAATTTTTCACGGAAAAATATGAAAAAACAATGGATTAAAAGATGATTTAAATAAGATAAAAAGATAAGAAAAAGAAAGATAAAAGAAATAATAATTCTACAAGAAGGATCAATAAATTTGTAAGATAAATAGATATTTGGACTGATTATAGCCAATTTTTAATCATAATTCTGATATGGAAAAAATAAATTGCTCGCAAGCTTAAATAGAGAAACCGTTCTTAAAATCGCATTTGTCAAAATTGATATGTGCATGGAGGTCTCAGCTTTCTTTGTTCTCTGAATGGAAGCTGAAAATTCTAAAAAACTTAATAAATTTGTGCATCATAAAAATATGGTCGCTGAAGAAAAGTGCTTATTAACTACTTTTATGAAATGCAAATAATAATATAGAAAAGGGACAATAAAATAATATTTGGCCACAAAACACAGTTCTATAATTTTTTGGACCATTCGAGTGGGAAATATACAATTGCTTACGCGAGACAAGAAAAGCCATTATCGGCCTTTAATTGAACTTGTAGTAAATAGTTTTTCTATTTCGTGCGAACAATCAACATTACAGCTAAGAAATTTTGAAAATGATTTTTAAAAAATTCAAAAAAAGATGGGAATATAACAAATTCTTTTGATAATTTAATTTACTTTAATTTCTGAAAAAATTTTCATTTTTCGTTCATTGCGGAAATATGCTCAAATCCAACAGATTCACAACACACCAGATTTTTTTCCCTTACCCCATACGAAACGAAATATCTAATTTCGTTCATAAATCTTAGCAAATTAAGAGTTATTGAAGATGTCAGCAATTATTGTCCTTTTTGCAATAATCCTTTGGCAATCTTCAGAAGCCTATGAATTTCTCCGTACAAATCTTTAAAAATACAAAATAAAATATATAAAACAAGAAACCTAGGAATAAAACAGAGCCATTCCTACCATCACTACCTGTATTGTTATCTTTTTGTTTTATCATTTTCATCATAAATTTAAAAAATGTTAAAATGATTAAGAACAAGAACTTTAATTT